AGTATGTGTTATTGTTATTTGAATATTGTATTTATCATACACACTATTGATATGGATATCTCATAAACGTACTTATAGATTAGTGTATGAGTGAATAATTTCTCTTTGTTGATTCATGAATTTATTTTATACTATTATTGTTATTATTTTTAGTATTGTTAGTAATGTCATTCTCATTGGTATTAATTTCGACGTCTCAATACACTTTAGCCTATCGGTTGTTGTACTCAAATAGAATTTTCAAATGATGCGGGTTTATACTGTTGTAAATTTTAAACTTTCTTTTTTTTTTAATCGAATGATATGTTAAACTGATGATTTTTTTATATAAATAAAAGATAGATAAATAGTAGTCAAAGTATTTTTAAATATCTGTATGTCACTTATAGATATATATAAAAACATAATTATGAGACGTGCTTTATTTAACACGTAGTATATATATATATATATATATATATATATATATATATGATGCAGAAGAATGATAATTTTAGGTAAGATTATATTGAATGTGTTAAAGAGTTTTAAAATATTAACATGACTGTTCTGTCTATATGTTTTGATAGTGACAATCCTATCTGCTTTCGGAAATATACCAACAAACTAGATTAATGACAGTGTTTTAAATGTTAAAACTACATTTTGATAATGAACAGAATGAATACGACTAAACTATTAGTGAATAAAGTTGAATTAAGGCTTTTTTTTACGTACATTTCATTTTAGTGTGTACAGTATTACGTGTGACTAATTTTAAAACTTAAGTTGTGTGCTGAATAACAAGTATATCTGTTGTAAAATGATATAATTTATATTGTGTTTAAATCTGATGTAATAATACAACACAGTAATACAATACAATACGATACTGAGTGCTTAAAATTCCAGTTCTTCCGTGTATCTTGCTGAAGTTCTAGTTGAACCGGTATTATTCGTGTTGCTTCAGAGTGTTTCAAATTCACATCTGGCATCACTGCACAAAATGAACTGAAATAACCTGAAGAAATCATCTTTCAATGAGTCACCACAAGAAGCAGAAGATTATTTTGAGCATTTTGATACTCGGTATTTGTCCTATAATGTTAAAGAAGATTGAGTTTCAGCCTATTTCATAACTGCAGTTAGTATAGATGCTTATAGTTCATTAAAGAATCTTGCGTATCAAGACCAACTTATTCTACTTCAGTTTAAAAAATTTGAGAGATTGATCACTGATCATTTTCGCGAAATAGCTTTCCAGACACATGAAAGAGGTCCGCTTGACAAATTAATTCGCGCTTCGACCTAGTCAATCAGAAATTTCATACCAGAACTTGAGACACAAGCTTCTAAGTATAACTTCAGAGAACAGATGCCAATCCAACTACGTAACGGCTTGATTGCTGGAATAAATGATTCTAATCTAGAAAAAAAGCCAGCACAAATTCCTTCTTACATTTTTCATATGGTTAAAGGTTTCTATTATACTTGTGAAGATCTTACTCATGATGTGCGTGATGTAATGAAACAACATGATATCTTATTTTCAAACGTGAATAAATCTACTATACTAGAGCGATCAAAAATGTTTTCCAACAAGAACCTGTTCCATTTCATTTCGGCGAGCAAAGTACTTTTAATATGCCGTTGCATGTCAAACCTTGATTGTCGTGTGGTAAACTGCACCTTCGTAGTTGAAGACAGTTCTATTATGACGGTTGCTGGAAACATGGAAAGGCTGGTTACATAAAAAACTTTGTAGAACTTCTAACCCAAACCACTGAATGATGGGTTAAAAAGCAGCTGATTTGGATAGAAGAATGAAATCATCATCGCTTCCTACCGCTTACAGCAGTAGCCAACACATACTGCAATAATTAATTAATAATGGATGCAAGTCCCATTCATTTATTGTTGATACCGGTTGCATAGAGTCAGTGTTTTTACGAGGAATTCGCTACTTGTTTTAATAATGTCAATTTAAGTCCAAAGTATCGTACAGTCACTGGCTACCAACTATCGAATACTGGCTCAGTTAGCATTTCATTGAGAAAGGAGGAGGGTGGTTACGTAAATATTACTTTTTTAGTTGATGGGTATAGCTCATCTTTGCCTGGGTTAAAAAGCCTTCAATTACTGAATGTTCACGTTTCTCTGTTATTAATTCATTCAAAGACCTGGTTTTACAATACTAGAAAGCTGTGGGATGTATGAAAATCCAGACAGTAAACCTAGAGGTATAGAAGAGCCTGTCATTTTAAAGGGTAGACTAATTTTATATGGTTCAAAACTGTAATATATTCACTAAGACCGCACTCTTAGGACTCTAGAGACCCAAGATTTCTAAAGACTTATATTTGGCAAATCATATACTGAAATATCTTCGAATACTTGCCAACAGACTAAACAACCCTAATGACTTCTCCTTCCTAGTTACGATGACAGACAAATTAGTCGAGGCAGATGTGATAGGTAAGAAAAAAGCAATTACACACGAAAAACGTGCTGTTGAGCTTAATTATGAAACTTCTGCATTAATCAGGACCCTTCAAATCTGACTTGAGTGCTCTCAGATTAAAAGAAGGAGAATATTCATTAACGACAACCGAGTGTATAAAGACCCTTAACATATAGCAGAGCTGTTCAGCGAAAATCATTGTGCTTCGTTAACAAATGAAAACCTAATAAAAGAATCCTAGCTGACCCCAACGCCTTTCATTCGTTCTCATCCAGCAGTGGTTAATCGCAACGCGACCGTCGTAACTTGTGCCAACTACTCAGTTGTACATTTCAGAGTCTGGAACATTATCTATTGTTTTTTGTGAAAAAAATTTGCTGTATGTAGACAACTAGTGTATCTTTTGAAATATTTATCCATCTGAACAACCTCTAACGGAAAGCATGTTAGCAATTTTATAATTTTGATATTGCCTGCCAAAGGGGCATGCCTCTTGCTGCAAGTTGTTATGCGAGGAATTTTATACCTACATACCGATGACCAGTGCAAAGGTTACAACTCATCAGAAATAAACACTGATAACGTGGACCACAGCTTGCATTCGGAGGAACTCTAGACTCCTTACCGTAGATACTAGTATCCAGAGAATTGTTTGATCAGTCCATAAAACTGTGATAATTTTGCAGAACCTAAGAAGCCTAGGCAGTCCTATGACCTGAACTTCATCAGTTTATTTTAAGTTTTTGATTAACAGTGAACGCTTTTATACCTGAGATAACGAGTCAGGTTATAAAACGGGGTCGTTGCAGGCTGATAGCCTTATATTTAACTAAAATAAGTAACTTAATCAACTTCTAGCTGGTTTATATTGGTACTGGTTTTTATGTAACGTGTTATTTTAGTGCACATTCGTCCCCGATTTACCTACATAGCGTTTATTTCCTTCCACATTACCGTTACATTTAGCGAGATGAAACGTTTTTATAGAGCGGAACATTTTTTATTTGCATTTGTAAATTTACATTTTGTATCTAATTATTTTACACGCAAAGTGAAAAATTCTTTAGGTTTGAGTGATTTTAGTCTTTTTATTCTAGAGTCTTTCTCATTTTTTACTTGGGGATGTTGAAGAGGCCGGTGAGGAAACACCACAGGGCCGGACAGAAAGTGGGAAAATAGTACCCAACCAACAAGCTGTTTGGTGGCCCGTTCGCGGTATTTTCTCCGATGTTCTGGTTTCATTTTCTTGCCTCCTTTTTCTTCTACTATTCCTGGTTTCTAAAGTGAGTACATATACGATTAGTCAGGTGCGATAATTTACGGAAAAAATGTAAATGCTACTGACAAAAGATGGAAAACTAATAAAATATGCACCACCTATAGAATATGTTTAAATGTTTATTCAGCCGTACGCATCATTGACTGTTAAAGCAGTGAGGCTTAACATAAACTTCGACATTTTCACTCACCAAGTGGATCGAAGCAACATTTCAATGGAATTCGACTTTAGAACGAGACTTACGTAACTCTCTAGGTTAGAGAGTCAGGGGGTGGCCGAATACAGCTATTAGGATTAAAATATTTTATATAATGGAACGAAAGAATGGGCTGCCTTGAAAAAACGCTATGCTTTTACCGTTTCACGGAACCCTTGGCACAAGCTTGCGACTTGTTTTAGGTTTGTTATATTTGTGGCTGAAGAGCTTTGAGAGCAGAGAATAAAAGCTATCCTACCAATATCTTATGGCCTGGGAGAGGACAATTTTTATGGAACTATATGTAATGTTCATTTCTGATTTGAAGTACTAAAAACAGGTGCAGGACTAATTATGTTACTCATATGAGCACGACTTACAGGGAGTGAGGAACAAACAAACACATTCAGATCAGTACATTAAGACAGGGAAAATGAAATACAAGGGTCACATTAATTTTAGAATAGAGAAGAATTCAACAGTTATTTACAGATTAAATTACAGCTCATGATTCATAAGATCAAGCACTTTTATCGAATGCTAGTACTCTCAAGACTTTATATCCAGGAAAACGGCGTCCGAAAAAATAACCTATGTTTCTTTTCTTAACTCCTTTGTTTTTTCACACGATCATCTTAAAGCTTCACATTATAATTTGGATCCAGATGTGAAGGAACAATTTTTACTCTCTCTATGGGTGACAGCATCTGTACCAGGACATATATAAAAACAAGGCCTGCATATTACAATCCGCAATTTATCAGTACAATGAATACAAACTGAATTATATAACCTATCGTTTCTTCGTCATTCTTTGTTTTTCTCTTAGTACGACTCTATTTCATCTCGTTTATAATTTAGTAGGATCTCAAATTCGAAATTTCACAGTGATGTGTTCCACTGACTTATCTGCATACAAAACTTTGTTGTTCACTCTACTCCGAAAGCTAAAAATACTTCCGACACCAAACGTTTTCCACTCATATATTTCAGAAAATACAAAAAAACTTTTGGTGAGAAGTAATACTAATAATTCAGGTAATAAAATATTCACACTATCTTTGTTTTACTGTCTCGGAAAAAATGATCTGTCATTTGTGATTATTCAAAAGTTGCGATGTTTTTGTTGGATCTATATTCTCTCCTTTTTCGCTCTGGAGGTGTGTTCTTGTCATACCTTTTATATGGTATTTATCAAGAAAAAATGTGAGATATTCCGAATTTCATGTGTTTACTAATAATTTTAGCACGAAAACTAAGTATGGCACTGGAATGGAATTGTTCGATTTCTATTTCTCTCTTTTGCTTTACCAGTGCATAATAAATTTCATATTCTCGCGAATAGGTAATTTCACACTAAGCATGGTTTATTTACCTCAACAGCCCTCCTCTTTTGTCCGGAGCCACCAGTTTCTTCCGCGGGATATAAGTTTAGCATATGTGGATTTAGTTATATTACCGCAATGTACACAAGTAATACTAGTCTAAAGTATGTCGCTTACCCCACACAGGTTTGTTATTGCGTTGGCTAAACTTCTGTGCAGGTGATAGGGAAGTCCATTAAACCAATACCTGTAATGTTGCTGAGTGTTTTACTAGCTAGGCGCCGTTATCCATTGCAGAAATACATTTTTGTTTTGATGATTTCTCTCGGCGTGGCATTTTTCATGTTCAGAGGACATTCAGCTGCAACCTCCTTAAGTAACTTCGGCTTTGGAGAATGTCTTTTGGTATTTCATTACATTTCTGGTTGTTATTTTAATTTTTCAAGATTTGTTCATTACTTCTCGATGGCGTTACTGGCGGAGTTCAAGAAGACCTTAAAAAACATAATGTGGGTCCCTATACTCTAATGATGCGTATTAACCTCTGGTCCATTATTTACATAGTGCCAGGTAAAACGAATACCAATTCCTATGCATAATATGTTTTGACATGTACATTGTCATCTTGTGTCTTGTTTTATCAGCGAGCGGTTATTTTTGCTGTTAAAAATCACTACCATTGAAAATTTGGAAAATCGTCTAACATGCTTTTTGATTCATCTGTTTTCCGTTACTAACGTCATATGTAAATAGATTTAAATACACCATTTAAATCATTGCATCAAGTAATTAGTGAATTAACTTGTTGCGCATTATTTTAAACCTTAGCATTTAGTTCCAACGTAGTATTTTGTAAGTATAACTCAAGTAAGCAATAATTGCAAACAGTGGTGGGTAGCGGGAGCGAGAGAGATGGAAAAGGCAGTGGCAATAGGCATCAGCAGACAGTTGTTCCGACTTATCTAGGAAACCGGTATAAGAAATCCATCTGTTAGCGGAACTATCTCAGAAAAGGATGGCTATATCATTCATCCTCAACCTCGGAGATTAAATCAACGGGCAGAACACTTTAAATATCAGTTTATTTGGCTCTCAGCCACATCTCGGCTGCCCACGATCTCCGATTATCCTGAATGGAAATTCAATGTAAGCCTTCCGATTCTTTACGAAGTTGAGAAAGCTATTGGAAATCTGAAGCAAGGGAGAGCATCAAGACCTGATAGATGGACACCTGAGATTTTTAAGGATCGTTGTCCAGGTTTAGCAGCTAGATTAACTGAGATCTTAGGTAGAATCTGGGAACTGGACGTAATCCCATCCGACTGATCTCAATCGCTGACTGTCCCAATTTATAAGAAAGGACACAAGTCTTCTTGTAACAATCACAGGGAAATGAGTCTAATATAGTACCTAAAATATTGGCCTCAATAATACTCCGACACTTAACAAAAGCTCTTGAAGGGGCGACTAGAGAAAACCAGTCTGGTTTTCGATCTGGACGTGGCTGTATAGACCACATCTTCACACTACGACAGGTCCTAGAACAAAGACACACGTTCAGACGCCCCACAATAGTAGTATTTCTAGACCTCAGAGCGGCTTTCGACTCTGTCGACTGTGAGGTTCTGTGGCAGTGTCTGTCATCAAAAGGTGTACCAGAGAAGTGCATTACCTTAAAAAAGCTCTCTACTCGAACACTACAGGTCGAGTGAAAGCTTATGGCGAGCTGTCTAATGCAACAGACTAATGCAAGTGGTGTCCACCAGAACTATCCACTCTCTTCATTCTTGTTTAATTTTGTCGTAGATATGCTTTTAGAGTTAACATTATCATCCTCTGACTTTTCAGGAGTGGACCTTCCACCAGGATACACACTTGCTGACTTAGAGTATGCTGATGAACATAGTCTTATTCGATGAAGACGCTGATAGAATGCAGTGTCTCCTGAATAACCTAAGAAACATTGCAAGCATATTCGGTATGCAATACTTCCCGTCGAAAAGCAAAGTATTTCTTCAGGATTGGCTTGCGTCGGCACCAGAACTAGTGATAGGGAGTGAAGCAGTAGAGCGTGTTAACCGCTTCAGTTATCTGGCGTCTCATCAGTGCTGATGGCGTGATGACAAATGAAATCTCAGCACGGTTACAGAAGGCTCGATTGGCTTTTGCCAAGTTGCGTCACTTATGGCGCAGGCGAGATATTCTTTTGATAACCAAAGAACGAGTGTACTCCGCAGCAGTTCGCTCCGTCCTGTTATATGGATGCGAAACATGGCCAGTCAGAGTAGAAGATATTCGTAGGTTGCTTGTTTCCGATCATATATGTCTCCGAAGCATTGCTCGTATATCCTGAGACAATCGAGTAAGAAATGCAGTTGTTAGGAAACGGGTCCTAGGTAAGGGTGGAAGATCAATAGATGAAGTGTTGTGTCTGTGTCAGTTGAGGTGGTTGGGACATGTGTTACGAATGCCTAACAACCGACTGCCTCGTCTAGCTATGTTTTGTGGTGTAGGAGTAGGTTGGAAGAAAGTTAGTGGCGGCCAGACCAAAATATGCCACAAATCCATGAAGTCACTGACAAGTGGACTGAGTCATGTTGGTAGATGTAGACTACCTGGTTGGGGTCCGCGAGACGAAAGTCACCGATGGTTAGAGACCTTGAATAACATGGCTTAAATCGTTTGCAATGGCGCAGGTGCATGCACCCATTGTGTTCTCTCGAATTCTAATCTTCATATTTCATCATCTCTGTCTTTCTCTTTCTAAAGTCATCTCAATGAATTATACTTATCTAATCATATCTTCGAACCCTAATCTTCTCCATTACTGCTAATACTTCTACTACTTCTACTACTATTGGTTTTGAGTTGACAATTGTGTTTCTGTGCTAATGTGATGTGGCAACCTGAACTGATGTACTCGTGTGCGAAGTCCAACGTTGCGACTGACTGGCTTACTGTTGTAGTTTCAAATCAGCTTTTTGTTTGTCCCAGCCTCAATCCTTGTAATGTTTTGAAACCTGATACCCCGGTTTAACGCATATATCTTCCAATTTCTACTTAGTTGTTAGACTCAAAATATCTATATCCAGTTTTCCGAAATGCGATTTGCTTCAGTTCTCAAAAAATAAGAAACATTTCAACTTCTCTTGTATAATCATTTAATTTTTGTTTATCAAGTTTATTTCCCAAATATTTTAAATTTACTTGATATTTTTTTCTCATTCAAGCAATGGTATTCTCTGGAGAAATTTTACCGTTTATTGAGTTTATCAAACGATATCCACGTATAATTTATGATATGAGTATTTTTGGGTTGACAAGTGCTGTTGGCCAGGTTAGTTATGTTTTAGTAGGCAAATAAAAAATAATGTATATTTAACGTATTGTTCGTTTCATACATTTTATTTGCCCAAAATAAGAACGTGATAAAAATACCAGCTCAAGATTCCTCAAAGCTTGAATATACAAATAATTAGTGCTGTGCATGAAAATAACGGTCTTTTCAAAGTCTTCAAGAGGGATGATCAGCTTAAAAGCGCCTCATTTAATAGTATTGAAATAAGACCGTGTATTGAAAGGTACCTGTAAATTCTCGAGACTATTCAAGGAGTTAGAGGATCATGACTATCGTAGTGAACTAATAATGGGGAAGTGATACAAGCATGGGTAGACGGAAGAAGAAGGCTGATAATCAAGCAAATTCGTTACTGGTTGCCAGTTATTCGGTTAACTTAGTCTTAACATTCATATGTATTTCTTATTTATATGTGTGCTTGTAGTCAACATTCAAGGCAAATGTAATCCTATCGAACCATTTTTAAAATAATTGCAACTCCTGTATCTTATTTGGATGAAGCTTGCTTTCAGTTTGCGATATTTTAATGCTAGTAGAAACCCGTAAAATAAAAATGTTGAATCAACATTGTAATCTATTCAGCGTTGTATTTTTGGATTTAACTCAACATACTAATGTCACTGAGTTTTTGAGTCATTTGCCCATTATTCCACTATAGAAATATGGGACAAAATTAACTGCAATGGTTCATCTTCTATCAGTATACTTTTTGTCCCACAAATTTACTTCCTTTCGACCACATAGTCTCTACGCTAGTTGTTAGCATACCATTTCAATTAATTTTTTATTTTGAAGTGTTTTGTTGTGAATCGTATTGATTTCTCTACAATATGCAGATATAAAGTGCGGGATATTTTATTTATCACATATTAGATTGTTTCTGATAATATTTTTAAAGTCTACCAGGTTGGGGTCCACGCGATAACTATGACCAACGGTTAGAGTTGGGTGATATGACTTAGAATCGGTCACAATAACACAGGCGTATTTACTCTTTCTCCTAAACCTTGGGTTTCAAGTTGTCCTACCCTTTTTATTTCATGGATTCATACTTCCTTCCCTGATCACATTGTCTACGTCTAGTCTTTCATACTATCGCTAATGCTACTGATACTTATACTACTTCGACATGTCATCTGGTTCTGTTAATATTGTATGCTTATGACTGACTACTAGTGTTATAGTATATTTTAAATTAGAGTTATGAAGATTAGTGTTTTTACCCATAGAAATAATCAATCAATCAATCATTGTTAGACTACCAATAGAAACGTGGAAGCACTGGACGACCGTTTCGTCCTTACATGGGACTCATCAGTAGTGCGCATTTACGACTCCTGCACCCAGGACCTTCAGTCTTGCGTGCAAACGCCTAACCCCCGGACCACTGGATGAAACGGCCATCCAGTGCTTCCAGGTTACTAATGGTGGTCTAACAATGATTGATTGATTGATAATTTCAATGGATAGTATATTTGTTGGTTTCATAGTCTCTGGATATATTCTAGTTCATCCACCAAACTATCGGGGCAATACTATAAATGCTACTGAATAAAACGAAGTTTTCTTACAATGCTGTTCCTGATTCATGTGTATTAGGTAAACAGATTCCATCTGGAGTTGTTATAGATTTACAATCTAACCTTTTGCCATTTTATCTTACTTTTTTTTCCTCTCACCATCTCATCAGATATTCCTATTTGGTTTGATCACAAACTTCAGTCCATTAACTTGTGCGATTGTGACTACAACAAGAAAATTTTTCACAGTTCTCTTCTCAATTGTTATATTTGGTCATATTATGACAACATACCAGTGGATAGGAACGGTATTAATATTTTCTGGCCTATTACTTGATCAGATCTACGGCAAAACACGTGTTAAACAGTCGTCCAAAGATACAAATAACATCAATGGGACAGTGAATTCAGTTAAAAGTTATCGAGAATTTGAAAAGAAAAGTGAATAATTTACTGCTTATCCGAAAAATGTATCAAATACATGAATAATTTCTTTTTGTATTTAGGCCAATGTAATTTTTCTGCTTTCTTAATCTATATTTCTTACTTTTGGATTTCCGACTGACTATATGTTTCATTTGTAATGTTATCTCTGGTAAAGATGGTTTTAATCAATGATCCATAAGAGATTTGAAGTTAATGATCACCAAAAAGAAAACGAAGAAACGACTTTAGTATTTGTTTTCACGTACTGTTGTGATATCAAAGCATATATTTACATATATTTTGAAATAGGTAGGCTGCGTTTTCATCAATCATCACTGAAAAGAATCCGTAGATATTTGCTGCATCTTTTAGAACTCAAACTTTCGAACTTAAACTTCGATCAAGTTCCAATGCGAATAAGTGCTTGTCCACCTTAATCTAACAATGAACCTGTCAATAGTATATTTAAAGAACTGGTTAGGCACTTAGTAGACCATGAGGGGCACGTTCATTTCGAGATTGCTTGGAATAATCTACTGCCTGCTATAAAAACAGCAACGAGTTCTGTTTGCACTCTTAAACCAAAAGATTAGAAATAAACAGCAATCCTTTAAAAACGTCTATAAAATCATTCGATGCAGCAAGATTGATTGTTAGAGAGTCCGAGCACAATCAGGAACGAAAGAAATTTAAATGCAAATTAATAAGAAGTTTACGCATTGGTTGTGCGCTGTTATAGGAAGCGAAATTAGGAGAAATGGAATCGGAAAAGATTGATAACATTAGCCAGCTGTTGAGATTATTCAGAGATATTGGTCGACGGGCTGGCTATTAGCAAAAATTTCACAAAACTAGTATCTAATCCTAGGTCAAATGAATGAAACGATGAAAAGGATGGTCTGCATAACTGTATGAATGAACTTTAGTTATTAACTGCTCTTTAGTAGCCTACATCGGGTCTTGAAACCCACTCGAAGTTGTAGGGGCTATAAGCGACCTGAGATGGATCAGTATCAGTCAGGTTCTAAAAGCTTAACTCTGTAGGCTTTTAAGGACACTCATACATTACTAACAGTTTAGTAAAATAGCTAAAATTTAATATCTGTATTTCTATTAGATTGTTCTCGATCGGTGGTTGTACATGTTTGCATGATGAAACTTCCTCTTCTGATAACTACCGAGAGACTCATTTGACTAATATCTGAAATGCTCATTTAGATATTTATCTAACGCTTGGCTGGACCCAAACTATTCTCAAAGTTGATCTTGGATGAGTGGATCAATCGAAATTTTCAGGATCAGTTCCTCTTTCTCTAAATGCAGAATGTTTCTTAAAATCTGTTTTGGATAGTGCTTAGTTCGACTATAGGTAGTAAAGTTGCCGTGTGTTTCAATGGCTTAATTAGTCTTGAAAGTTTTATCAAGTCTAATGGTTTGCTAGTCGAACAAATTTAATCACTGGCACGAAACATTCATTTGACTTTCAGTAACTTGCAACATCTCCAAATCCAAGGGGTGATGATAGTGCATAGAACGCATCTCTCTCTTTTATTATGTGACTGCAAAATATGGTTTGTGAAAGTCGGAGACTTACGTAAGTTACCTTCTATGTATTTTACAACAAGAGTTCTTGTACACTGAAAATTCTAATTGATCATTTCTTAATTTAGAGGTTGGCTTCCAGGTAACCTTATTAAATTGTTTGTTTAGTATATAATTCTTCATTGAAATTTTACACACTCAAACACGGGCAGAAGTGGTTGCGAGGAAAGTTATGGGTGACTGAACGCAGACTTGATAGAATAAAATGGTTAAACAATTAATTTAGGATTTATTCATTGGGGTTTCATAACTTCTGTATTAACTGTACCTTCTATTAAAGTTTATACGGTTAAATTTTGTCAGTACGTTTCAGTAGTTAGATACAGTTTACATTCTCATACAGTCAGTAAAGTAGTGTTTTTATTTAGTTATAGTTGAGTATTTTTGCTATTCATTAAGAAATGAAGGCGTGATATCTTATTTCAAAAATTTCACTACACCTTACGAACGCTCCCTTTTGAGCGGTCAAATAGTATCACTAGCTGCGCAAAATGAAATGTAGTTCAAATGTGAATACATGAGCATATTACATACGCCTACTACCCCCAATGGAGCATAGGCCGCCTACCAGTTTTCTCCAACCAACTCTGTTCTGGGCTTCCCTCTCCAGTTCTGTCCAATTTTTGTTCAATCTTCTCATATCTTTCTCTATTTCTCGGCGTAATGTGTTCCTTAGCCTTCCTCTTTTCCTTTTGCCTTGAGGGTTCCAAGTGAGGGCTTGTCTCGTGACGCAGTTAGGTGCTTTTCGTAGTGCGTGTCCTATCCACCTCCGCCGCTTCTTCCTGATTTCCTCCTCCAATGGAATCTGGTTTGTTTTCTCCCACAGTACGTTGTTGCTGATGGTGTCTGGCGAACGAATCGGAAGTATTTTGCGTAGAAAACTGTTAATAAACACTTGTATCTTGTGGACGATGGCTTTGGTAGTTCTCCAAGATTCGGCTCCATACAGTAGAACTGTCTTGACATTTGTATTGAATATCCTGATTTTGGTTTTGATTGAAAGTTGTTTGGAGTTCCAGATATTTTTCAGCTGTAAAAATGCAGCCCTTGCTTAGCCAATCCGCGCCCTCACATCTGCATCGGATCCATCTTGATTTTCGATTATGCTACCCAGATATGTAAAGGTGTTAACGTCCTCGAAAGCATCTCCATCAAGAGTGATTTGGTTGGTGCATGTTGTTTTGTATCGTAGAATCTTACTTTTCCCTTTATGTATGTTGAGACCTACTGCTGCAGAGCCGGCTGCTGCTACACTGGTCGTCTTCTCTTGCATTTGTTATTGCGTGTGAGATAGAAGAGCCAGGCCATCTGCGAAGTTCAGATCGTCCATCTGCGCCCTAGCTGTCCATTGGATACCGTGCTTCCTTCCGGATGCTGACGTCTTCCTAATCCAGTCGATCACCAGGAGAAAGAGAAAGGGTGAGAGTAAGCAACCTTGCCTGATACCGGTCTTCACCTCAAACGAGTTTGTCACCTGACCTTGGTGTACGATTTTGCAGTTGAATCCATCATACGAATTCCGTATGATGTTGGCTATTTTCTCAGGCACACCGTAGTGTCGTAGAAGCCTCCACAGTGATTTCCTATCCACACTATCGAATGCCTTCTCGTAGTCGATGAAGTTGATGTAGAGTGGTGAGTTCCATTCAATTGATTGTTCCACAATGATCCGTATTGTAGCGATTCGGTCAATACACGATCGATCCTTACGAAATCCGGCCTGTTGATCTCGAGGTTTGGCGTCTCCGAAGTCCTTCATTCTGTTTAACAATACCATGTTGAAGACTTTACGTGGTACTGAGAGAAGAGTGATGCATCTGTAGTTCTGACACTTGCTGAGATCGCCTTTCTTTGGTATTTTGATCAGGTATCCTTCTTTCCAATCTGATGGTACTTGTTCCTCGTCCCAAATCTTCTTGAAGAGAATGTGAAATATTTTTTCAGTTTCTTCCACATCTGCTTTCATTGCCTCTGCTGGAATGTTGTCTGGTACTGCTGATTTGCCGCTCTTGATTTGTCTGATGGCCATACTGATCTCTTCAATTGTAGGTGCGTCAATAGTAATTGGGAGGTCCGTGGATGCTGCTTTGATGTTGGGTGTGTTCAGTGGAGCTGATCGATTCAAGAGTTCCTTAAAGTGCTTTACCCTCCTATTTCGCTGTTCTTCAGTGTTGCTGATTACTTTGCCTTCCTTGCTTTTCACTGGTCGTTCTGGTTTACTATATTTTCCGGAGAGCTTCTTTGTATCGTACAATTGTCTCATATCTCCTTCTCTTGCAGCCTTTTCCGCCGTCATTGCTAGATCTTCCACATGTTTTCGTTTGTCGGCTCTGATGCTCCTCTTCTCTTGTTTGTCTGCATCTGTGTATTCAGCTTGTGCGGTACCTTTCTCTGCTCTTGTTCGGCTGATATTGACTTCTGCCTTCTTAATCCTCCTTTCTTCAATGTTTGCAAGAGTACCAACAGACCTCCAATCCTTGTGGTGGTACTTCTTGTTACCCAGAACTTCGTGACATGTTGAAGTGATTGCCTCTTTGATCCCTTCCCGCTTGTTCTCCATGGTTGTTTCCTCTTCATTGAGTAGATCCCGCAAAGCATGGAACCTATTTATGATGGCTATCTTGAATTCGTTGAGTTATACGGCATCTCGAAGAAAGGCCGAATTAAACTTCTGCGATGTTGTCCGCCCCATCATCCAGTGTTTCTTGAGTTTCATTTTCATTCTGGCGACCAGCAAGTGGTGATATGAATATATATCAGCTTCTCTCTTGATTCTCACATCCCCAATGGTCTTTCTGAATTTTTCGTTGATACAGATATGGTCGATTTGGTTCTGAGTAGTGTGATCCTGTGAAATCCATGTAGCTTTGTGTATGCGTTTGTGTGAGAATATTGTGCCTTCGATGACCAGTTTGTTGAAGGTACATAGGTTTGCGAATCTCTCACCATTTTCGTTCATTTCTCCTAGTCCATGTCGTCCCATGATGTCTTCATATCCAGTGTTTTCCATGCCAACCTTGGCATTTAGGTCTCCCATTAGAATCAAATCCTTTGATGAGCATCTGTCGACGATTGACTGCAGCCTTTCGTAGAATTGATCTTTAACGTCGTCATTGTATGCATTTGTAGGTGCATAGCATTGGATGATGTTCATTGTAGTGTCCTCTTTCTTTGTTTTGAAGGATGCTTTAATAATCCTAGGTCCATGAGATTCTCATCCTATTAATTGCCTTTTGTACTTGTTTGGACAGCATCAGTGAAACTCCTCGTGTATGTGAAGCATTTTCCTATTTATGGCCAGAGTACAACAGCAGCTCTCCTGAAGCTAGTCTCAGTTGTCCTATCTGTATCCAATCCGTCTCGCTGACTGCAAGTACCTTGAGGTTGTATCTTTTCATTTCTGCAGCAACTTGAAATAGTCTTCCAGTCTTACACAGTGTTCAAACATTCTAAGTACCTAGAAGAATGGTTGCTCTAATTTCCTGAATGGGAATCGGCCTCGTGACTTCCAAGGGAATTCAGCTTTCATCATGAGACGTCATAATTTTCTTGAGAGGTGACATACCAACTGTCATAGCAGAGTTAAAATTGTTTGAATTTACTTTTCTGGTTAGCGTTTTTTAGCTGGTTAGCATTTTGTTGTATAGTGTCGCCATCCC